CAAGCATCAGTTCTAGTTTTATGTTATTTACAAAAATTTGCACAATTAGTTAATAGTTTTCTTTAAGGTGCATACATTTGCATAGCAATTGGTGATTTTACCAATTACTAAACGCCCAATGAAATATATTTTTTTTGTCTCTCTTTTTTTATAATTGTCCTTGTTTAGTTAGAGGAGAAGCATCTTTTTCCGTTTTCGTGAAAAAAAAACTTCTAACCCTCATGCTAAACTGGTTATCGATGAATGCTATCATGAAAGGTCTCAAAAGTCGGCGGCGTAACAAAAGTTTGTTTGTTGACTCCAGGTTTTGTTTCTATGGCTCACGAACTGCATGATGGGGGATGGATCTTTTCACAGAAAAGAGGGCTAACGGACAACTAAAAATAAGGGTTGAAAATTATGGGTATACAAAAAACAACGGTTATTCTTTCTAGTGCTCTTTGGTCGTTATACAGGTTGCATGTCTATAATTTTATTAAATTCTGGAGCTCTCCGAAAAAGAAGGATAGCACTAAAGACCTTAGCCTAATTAAGGGGATTTTTCCTGAAGTAAGGAAGGAGTAAAACTGTGGAAATGAAAACTTGCTTGATTACAAGACTTAAAATATACGAATTTGATGATTAAACTTGGAATTGCTGAATACGTTGAAAATGATCCAAACCCTGCAATTATTTACCTTGATAAGTGTTGAGAAAATGGCTCCCGCCTCGAACTGTAAATGTGCATTTTCTTTGATAACGTCGTGCTTGTTTAGTTCACAAGTTCCTTTGCCATCAGACTTGGAAGTTTGAGGAGCAGGTTTGAAGTTTGTTGAAGTACACCAGGCGTTTTTCAAACAAGACTGACTACACCAAACTAAACTAGGGGACTCAAACCGTTTAACAACGAAACCTTTAAGCTGCTTATTTGTCAACGTTGTGAAATACGCTGATCGAGAAAGAGCAGACGATTCTACTCCTGCGTGGAAAACCGCGCAGAGTAATATAACTCCTCGAAAGAAGACAAAGAGGGGAGTGTTTTCAAGTCCCATCGCGAAAAATGTCATCACATAATGAGTGTTTACTGTCTTTCCCGATGTCCCTAGGGATGTACCGCACGAAATCCGAATTTTGATTGGCCAACTTCAGCGTAATTTAGGCAATAATACTCGGATGCCTAACAGAAAGGAGCATACATGATAACCAGCTGAATGACAGTGTGGTTTGAAGTTTCAAATGCATTATGCACAGGTAATAACATGATTTCGAGCAAAATTTTGTGTTGATAAGCACGAGTAAATTTTCAAAGTCGACAAAATTGCATGAACCCCTTGGTCGAGTGCGATTTGTAGTCTGGAAAATTTATAAGTGCTTATTTACACCGAAGTGCACGAGAAATCATTTTGTTGCTTGTTAATAATTAACATGAAAAACTCATCACAGAAAGTCAAAACGGACAAAACTTTGCAGCGCGTGCATGCTATTTGTAATTTGCACTCGTGCTACAACTTTGCACCCGTATTAGTATAGGTAATCACATGATTTCGAGTGCAATTTGGAATAAATAAGCACGAGTAAATTTTTTCAAAGACTAATAAAATTGCACGAGCCCGTAGGGTGTGTGCAGTTTGTGGTCTTTGAAAAAATAACGAGTGCTTATCTATTCCAAATTGCACGAGAAAAATCATGTGATTACGTATTAATAACATACATGAAAAAAGTACGAGATAGCTTAACATAATTATGCAGAAGCAGAGCGTGCCTATCAAATGAAAAAATAATTTATTCAAACCTGTGCATTCGGTAAAAACAACCGCGTACGATCAAAACAGTAATATACAATAA